AAGATGAACATAACCACACAACGTTTCTATGGCAACGGAGGTCGTGTATCCCAGATAAATCCAGTGAAGAGTGATTGTATAGTTCCGAGTCCGACGATGTAACGGACCGCGCGGCCAATTCCGAAGCCCCGCCAATCCAATGATATCCACGAATCTGTACGGGCGAAGGAAAGAAACAAAGAGTGAACGACGGATATCACAAAACATCACCGATGGTTGCATTGGAAAGATCTGTGGAGCAGAGAGACAGACAGTGAAAGTCAACGTGCCGTGACTAACTAAACGGTCTTAATCCGGTAAAACAACTAGGTCCGAATATGGGAAAGGCACATGTTTGGAGAGCGCTGATGCTGTCACCACACTTCTTCTGGTAGTTACTTTCTACTTAATACAACGATAAAAAGAATTGTCGATGAAAAAACAGACCTGGCACACATCGTATACCTGAACTGACCTGACATGACACCTGGGCTTTGCCCGGAACTCAGCAAGAAAAACCGCTGAACCCACAAATTGCACGGACAAAGGGAATTTTAAAGAGAACATGAATGTCCTCTCACCTGCGAAATGACAGTGATGGAGTTTCCTGAAATGAAATGGACGTTTTTGTTTGAACTGATCAATATCGATTGTTGTAGTCGTCTGTGTGCAAGATGTCCGCTGTTGATTGTGAATCTGCAAATCCAGAGCCTGATGGCGATTCCGACGGAAGCTTTAGAAATGAGGATAACGGGTTTGGTCAGGGTGGTCAATTTGAAGAGGATGAGCACTTTCCTAATGAGGATCCAGGAAAGCAAATTGAACACCAAGTGGAAAGTCCCATTCGACATGTTAGACCAATGCGGTGAGCAAACTATTAAAACCACGTGCGGAATTTAATAATTCTCAGTGTGAATAAAAATTTCCCTGTATGTGAGTCTCCTGCATGTTTAGGCTAAATTTTCTACTAGAAGACTTTAGTATCTATGTTATTGTGCGCGCGTCACGTGATGCAACCCAAACCTAATTAATAGGATGCACCACCTGCAAGTCCTACTGCAGTAGGACCTCCAGATGGATATGTAGTGTGCTGACAAAAGTTTTCTCACGTTTATGAGTGTATTGTGTTTCGTGCTTCCGATTTCACCCAACGGTAAGGAATTGCCTTGCCGAGGCCCTTAGTTCGAGTCTCTTGGAAGTTTGTAGTGAACAAAACCGCTGTTATAGTTTATTCGACTGAATGATTGGTCGATACCGAGTTCGTAATGTTTGCGTGAGCGGTTATTCATCACTGGTTTTTGCCCTTTCAGACCTCAAAATGCACCGATGCAATATCGACCTGGTCCCGGCCCTCGGCCTCCCTTTCCGCCGGGGTTCCGTGGTCACCCACGCATGCCAATGCAAATGGGTGGAAATTCTCGGTAAGCTGTCTGATATTGTCATTCAACATGCTTCGTAGGTTACCGTACATGAGACCCGGAATGGGACCACGTGGCGGACCGCCGTTTGATAACTATGGCCCCCCTCCTATGGGTATGCCTAGAGGATGCCCTCCACCGAGATACCCTCAACAACCACGGTATCCACCGATGAGTGATAATCAAACTGACGAGGATATGGAGGATCAACAACAGTCCTGCGGTGAGATGAGCGGTCATGAATTTGATGGTCCACCCAACTCGAATTCGTTTCAAGGCCCGGGTATGCGACTTCGTGGTCCTCCACCCTTCATGATGGGGCCTAATGGTGGTTCTCATCCATCTGGTCCACCTGGAATTCCACACGGGCCGCCACGTAGCGGACCTGTACCTCCCGGAGGTCCTCCTTTTAACGGCCCTCCAGGGCAAAACTTCAATGGCCCTCAATTCAACGGGCCCCCTATGAGCTCGTCTGGCGGACCTCCGTATCCAGGGCCTCCACAACAAAACATGAGTGGTCCCAATTCTGGTCCTCCATTTAGTGGACCTCATTCTGGTCCCCCTTTTAGTGGACCTTTTTCTGGTCCACCCGGACCTAACATGGGCCCACCAAACTTCAGCGGTCCTCCTCCTGGTTCGGGATTCACTGGTCATCCTCCCGGACCGGAATACCCTGGACAGCCTCCATCCAACTTCAGTAGTCAGCCTTCCGGCCCACCGTTCAGTGGTCCACCTGGACCAAATTACTCGGGTTCCAACAGACCGCCGTTTGGTCCACCATTCAACGTTCCCCCTGGGACACCTGGGAGCTCACAACCCGGTCCGCCACCTGCAGCGCATTCTAGTTTGCCTCCAGGGGTTCCTCCTCCAGTGCCGCCGGCGAATTGCCCTCCGATGGGTGGTCCACCTCCGGGAGCTTCGCCGGGTGTCATGCCTCCCAACGCGCCTCCTGGACCTCCATTCGCTGGTCCACCGGGGCATCCAAGTTCACAGGCCCCTGCCGTTCAACCACCTCCCTCGTTCTCTGATTCCATGCATGCGCTTCCACCTGGCGCACCAACGGCGACACCGTTTGGATCAGGGCCTCCACGACCACCCTTCCCCCCTGGTGCGCCGATCGGAGTCCCTTCATCGAGTGCTACGAGTCTACCAAATATGGTTTCACCTACTGGCACAAGTAGCACCACTACGCCTGCCATGTGTCCTCCGCCCGTGCCTCAGCCGACGCCAACCACTGTTGCTAGTCCATTCGGGTACCCTCCGGGTCCAGTGGCGACTTCTGAAAGTAAGATATGATCTTATTAATCCCCTTATTTTCAGTCTGCGTTGACCTAAGCGGTTTTGTATTGTCAGTTAAGGTACCACAACAAAAATTGTGATTGCTAAGGAGTAAATTTTCTGAAGGTTTTCAGCACTCAAATATCGGACTCTGTGCACCACTCAAGATTTCTTTTCTGTTCTTTTTTATCTTAAGGCTCACAATACACCGTCCCACCTGGCTTTCCCGGTATGCCTCCTACGCGACCAATGACTATGCCTCCTGGAATTCCTCCTCAGTCTTTGTGTTCTGCACCACCAGGTTTTCCGTTACATTTAATGCCACCCCCACCGATGTCAAACCTGACGGTTATGCCACCAGGACTTCCACCGTTTCGGAGTGGATTACCTTTCGTACCCCCTGCGATGCCGATAGGGCATCTAACACCGAAAGCTCCATCAACGACCCAAGTTAAGGTTGGAGAAGATATTTGGGTCGAAAATCTTACCGCGGAGGGGAAGTCTTATTATTATAACATGCGCACGCGTGAAACCCGTTGGGATCGTCCCGAAGGTGTAACGCTAGTAAAACAGGATGAGGTGGAACATCCGGCTAAGGCAACTCCTGCGGTGACTGCGGGTACAAATGCCAGTACCACACCAGCTGCTGCTCAGAGGCCTCCAGATGTTGCAGTGTGGACTGAGTACCACAATCCCGAAGGCAAAGCGTATTACCACAATACGAAGACCGGAGAAACAACATGGGAAAAACCAAAANNNCATTGGCTGATTGGGAAGGTAATTTAGTATCATTGTTATCAACTTGTCTCAGCATCACTTACAGCTTCCCGGACTCCTGTATCTGAGTCAAACCAAACGACACCAGCTATGAGCACCCAGGGTTCAAACGTAAGTTTCGAACCATTGAATCTGGTGTTCCCTCCGGGTCTATTCGTTTTGACTCCTCCCTATTTTTCATTTCAGGTAATCGATCCGAAGCAAGAAACAACGAGCGCTGAAGGTAAAAAAACTGACGCCTCAGAAACCACATCGGAGAAAACAGACACACCTGCCAAGAGTGAGGAAAACTTGACAAGTTCAGCAACAGAATCTAAAGAAGAAACCACGAAAGCGCCAAAAGACAACAGTCGCCCAGTATCAAGCACTGCTGTTCCTGGGACTCCCTGGTGTGTGGTTTGGACTGGTGACGACCGTGCTTTCTTTTTCAACCCAAGCCAGCGTCTTTCCGTCTGGGAAAAACCTGAAGAACTCAAAGGACGTGCCGATGTTGATAGATTGTTAGAAAAAAGGCCCAACGCGACTGCGACTCCCAATGCGGTTGCCGAGGACGAATCGAAACCCACATCAGGAGATGACGATGCCGATGATGGTTCAAGTGCAGCCAAAAAACCTCGCCTGTGAGCCACGAAGATTTATATAAAAGACCCAATGACTTATTACCCCTTACAGAAACCGCATCAATCAGACTCGTTTATCAGTTTTGCTTGTACTAAGTGTTTTGGGCTGAATCTCTACACTGTTCGAGTTAAATTAGTCTTATGATTTACAGGCTGGCATGTTGTACCTGGGTCTGTATGGAGTTGTCAGTGATTTCAAAGTGGTCACTTCGTGATTAGTTCGATTCGTGAATGTCAATAATTTGGGGAGCTTGTCGTATGGTCATATATACATTTATGTCGGTTCAAAGTTATCGTAGGTGTTTGAAGCAGCAATACATAGGTATCAGTTTACAAAGCGTATTCGCTGAAGTGAACGTCTAACGTTTGGGTTATGGGTTTCCACCTAGTTTGGCCTCGGGAGATTACCATCTCTGCGTAGTATTTTCTGCTAGTTCAACTCGTGGTACTCTGAGGATTCAGCTCATGGTTGGTATAACACAAGATCACCCGAACCTTGGCAATCGTTAAAGGTACTTGGATACGCACTTGTCGCTAGGCCTGCTGTTTGTCCGGATTTCCATAAGGGCGTGCATGGTTAATGCACACGAACTAAACTGTCACTTCAAATCGTGACGTGCTTTAAGCAGATAAGATGTATCCTTAGCCGACGTGGTTACTGATCTGCTACAACTCCCTCTTAACTTTTAGAGAAACTGACGATGATGTCGAGGAGGATTCGGAAATGCGTAAGAATGGGCCTGAGGAGGATGTTCCTGAAGGCGAGAAGATCGGTGGTGCTCCAGACAAGATTCCCGTCGGTATGGAGGCTGCAAAAGAAGCAGAAGAGCGGGCCGCTCGCGAACGTGCCGTACAACCTTTGGAGGTCCGCGTGAAGCGGTTTCGCGAAATGCTAGTTGAGATGCAGGCAAGTCACTTGGGGATGTTCTACTTGACGATTATGAGTGCTTGTCATCTGTTTTTGTCCATCTATTAATTTACAATTTCGTTGATTTAAATTTTTCTACAGGTGTCTGCGTTTTCTACTTGGGAGAAAGAGCTTCATAAAATTGTGTTCGATCCTCGATATTTGCTTCTCACGAGCAAGGAACGCCGACAGACCTTTGAGGCTTATGTCAAGGAACGCGCAGAAGAGGAACGACGAGAGAAGAAAAATAAATTAAAGGAAAAGAAGGAAAAATTCGTCGAGTTACTAGAGGAAGCCGGATTGAATTCAAAGTAGGTTCATCTGAAGGTTGAGAATAACCCATTTTTATTTTTAATTACACGTGAATTGCAATAGAACGCAAAATCCCCACGTTCGACAGTAAACTGTATAAGGGAGAGTAGGGCGAAATTTCCTTAAGGCTTGCTGATTCTGCGTTTGAAGAGTGGAAGATTTTAAGTTGTGCGATACACAGGTGAATGTTCTAAAACTTGGCAGTTGGGCAAAACGATGGAAGTAGAGAAGTACGACACCTAATCACTGGAAACTTATAAGAATGACTCGATTCCTGTGCACGGGATGGGCGGGCAAGAGTTACTGGAATCTGCCGAGACAAGCTCCGAAGAAAAAAGTAGTGAAACAACTGCTTGGAGATGGATTTGCGACTGCAGATGGATGTTGGGCGAGAGACCTCGATCAGCTGAAAGCCTTTTGTTGAGCACGATCAAGAAGGTAAACAACGGAAGATGGGGATATTCAGATTAGTGTCAAGGTTCAAAAAGACTGGTTTCAAAAGCATAGAGTAGATACAGGAACCTCACTATTTAAGACACCGGCCAATCAACGTCTCCAACCATCGGTTACCATGATTTCGAGGTCCCTCATGTAATGAGCCTAAAACGACCTTAGCTTCCTGGTCAGGGTTTTCATACCAGATCTTACGACCATTCACTTTTTCCATCCACACACCTTGACAATCTACTTAATTCGTAGCACATAAACAGCGTAATCTATGGAGGTCGACCGTTTGCTCAATTAAACAACTGTGTTTACCTAGAACTCCTAACTTGCTTGTCCGGTCCCTCTAAGTAGTAATCAACGGTGTTCGAACATCGGCAATCAATCATTATCCTGTCTTCGTTATGGCCAAGCGTCTGCACAGTATAGAGTCGAACTACTGTAGCATGCACTCGACTCTTCACTGGCATCCGTATGCCATGACGGCGCCCCAGATGTCTTGGGTTGGCAAATGCCAGTCGAGCCTTCTGTATGCCAGATGGCACTTAATCCGTGATGTATCTTCAACCCTTCAAAGAGCTGTATGCGACTATCTCCTCTAGCGTTGGAGGATCACAGTCGACCTCGAATGGGGACGCTAAATCAAAACGATATCCGCCGGGTTGCTCAGCGGATGACTGGGAAGTCGACTAAAATGTTCTATCCATCTGGTCATTTTACTGTCGATATCGGAAATTAGTCCTCCGATAGAGTCGCGCAGAACGGGTTGTCAAGATTGCCTTCTACCGAACGATGATTGCATGAGACGAAAGAGGTCTCCGAAGTGACATGCACTGGCTGCGGTTTCCACCTTGATCGTTTTTTGCTCCATTAGTCGCGCCGATCTGTTTTTTTTTATTGGGGGAGGGGCGGGTTGCTTCCCGTCTGAGTCGCTAATAATCGTGGTGGTCAGCTAGACGGGCGTCCCTGGCCAGGTTTGAGAGACGGATTGTTTCCCCTGATATCCCATCTTTGTAGCAGCATTTCGTGGTACCAATTTTTTTAGTGCAGCTTTTATCCTGGACAACTGCGAACCAGTGGAGTTCGCTACGATGACGGGTGGGGCAGACTCATTTGCCAGTCGAGTTTCAATTTCATCCATCAGAGTTTTCGATTTCTCACTACACTAATGAGCTCACGATGCGATTTGTATTGGTGATCTTAGCAAGAGTAGTCAACTAGTCAACAAACCAGCATGCGATCAGAGCCACATCTGTTGCCAGTTTCGGCACCGCGATACGATCTACTGATGAGATTCGGCGTGACCGCATCAAGATATAATTGATCTGGTGGGCTGTTTTGCCGTCGTTGGAAACCAGGCAAGAGGATGTGTACTGGAGTGCTGGAAACGTGTGTTGGCTATAAATAGCTCGTTGAAATCGGAGAAATTAATTAGCCTGTCACCGTTTTCGCAGGGATGGCCCAGTCCAAATTTCCCAATTATGTTTTATTGAAGGTCCCTCCTGTTCGAGCATTCCAGTCTCCCACTCGATAAGTTCATCTCTTGGGGACGCGATTTATTACCTCTTGAAGACTGCTGTAAAACTCGTTCTTCACTACGCTGTCGGATGGTAGAGTGGAGGCGTAGACTGCTACCACGGGGAGGTTGGTAGGATTACCTTTGAAGTGTGCTTCAGCGATCCTTGATGATATTGGCTCCTAAGGGAGTACGCTGGCTCAGTGCTAACGCCACTCCCTGTTGACTTGAAATTTCTAGGCCACTCTGGTAAGAATGATGGTGGTTATCAGAACCGGGAACCTTGATGCTACAAGAGCCGGAACCGGCTAATTGTACTTCGGATAAACATGCAACATCTACGCGGTAGTCGTGTAACATGCGCATAGTGAACACCTGACTCCTAATGTCTACTAAGGTTCTCACGTTCCAGCATCCCACGTAGAGGTGCTTTCTAGGTTGGAGAGGCTGAAAAGGTCCGGTTCGCGTTCTTGGCACCCTGAGCACTGGAGGAGCGCGGGACGCTTCGCCTATCGGGGACGCCGTAGCATGGGTAACAAGGCTCGAAGAAGACTTGATCATGAAGTTACTTGGGAGTTTGGTACGAGTCGTCCCCAACGTCACTCGGCGTTTTATCGTTTTTGTTTTGACGGCGCAACTCTAGCCTTTGCACAACCAAGTGCGAACTGTAAGGCAGCAGAATGTAAGCCCTCGCCTCGGAAGTGACGGGAATCAATGAATAGTTTTAAAAAGCCAGTCACATCGACCTTTGTCACCACCCCGTCATTGGGCTTATGTGGCTTTTAAACGAGCCAGGTGGCCAGCCTGAAACCCTCCACATCCTGGCAGTGCGGCCTGCGCCCGGAGACATCCTTTGAGAAAACTTCTCCTGGTAACCCCCGTCTAAGATGAAAAGCTGCTATTAACTACCTATTAACTAGTTGTCCACCTGAGGCTGAGATTGACAGGTCTTATGTCGACGGTGACCAGTTAAATTGATCCTCGACGTGCTCAGTTTTTCATTCAAGACGGCGTTACTGATAATGAATCAATGTGCTGTCAGACTTCCATTACCTCAGTTTCGCCCTCAGTCCTTGAACCCTTACTCATAATTATACTGAAAAGTTTGCCCCCTTACCGGATTGCCACAGTATTTTCCATCTTTGCATTTTGTTTTCGTATTGGCATCGGGAGGACTGGTTCTCGCAGCGTCCGGCAACGCGGTCAAGATCGAGATTAATCACCGTTTGTACTTTCGTGCGTCAAAATCTACCGTTGCTTGGATAACTTCCTTGATTTATGTTTAGTTCATTGAGTCCTTCACTGGTTGGTTAAGTCGCGGGGCGATCAGGGAGTTCCGTTTCGAAGGCCGATTAGAAACTGTCGCCAGGTTTCCGGTGGCTTTGTTGCGGTGGTTTTCCAGGTGCAGCTAGAATCTGGCGTGTAACAAATATGGCCCATATCCAAGGATGCTGACCGACAGTTTTGAATGGACTCTCACTAGCGGTAGCTGACGGCAAGGCGATCATTTTGGGTCCATCGATGTGCAAACTCAGGGTTTCCAGGTGAGGTGGCGATTAAAGTTGTTTGATAGGAATGATCTGATGTTGCGCTGAGTTGAAGCAGACTAATTGCGTTGTTCGCCCGGGTCCAGCATGAGGAGGTTTTAGACAATCCAAGAAGAGAAACAGTATGGAGCGCAGTTAGGTGGAATCAAGAGAAAAGTATCACGGTCGATGTTAGTTTTTGCAATGAGTTAAACTGGCACCACTATTCGTGTGTAGTCGTAAACCAACTTCTATATTTTCTTGCATACCACTTGCAGGTCTTCGTTTGGCGATTTCTCGACAAAATATCAGAAGGACGAACGTTTCAAGGCTATCGACAAAGCTCGTGACCGTGAAAGCATGTTCCAGGACTTTCTCTCTGAGCTTCGGAAACGCGAAAAGGACGAGAAACACCGCGAGAAGGAGAAGGTGAGTCTTCCGATGAAGACAACTTTTTTAGTTCTGTTTTATCTCGCGTTTCGTTTTGCAAGCTTGTGCGATGCACGATGGTTGATCATTCCGTTTACTTTCCCCGTTGTTCACCAGACTTCTAGTACCCCTGTTCCTAGCTGAGAAATCCAACAGTCTCAGCCATGGTTACTTTTGGAGTTTGTTGTTGGTTTATTTGTTTAAGCTTTCAGTGCGCTTTTGAAAATGCAACTCCACCTCGGGTGTTGTAAATTGAAGAAATTGTTGTTGCTGGATTAGGTGACTGGTTTCAACTATCTCATTGTTGCTAGATTTCGTTGACGGATGACTTGTGGTTATTAATAAGCCAATCAGTTTTGGCTGGCATGGTGTACTTTGTTTTGCATGTCTCGTGATTACTTTGCTATTTGTGTACCACTGTGTTCATAGCTTTATCATTTTCTAAACTTTCGTCGCCCCAGCTGATGTGGATCATAAACCTACGACTAGCTAGGATTTGCGAGATAGGACAGATAACATAGATCTGGATGATAGTTTCGATTTGGGGCCACCACAGAGAGCTTTGGTAGCGAGATATAAACGTTTTCATCTGTTCGCTGAGTTGCGTGCATTTTCCGAAAGTTTCCCACATATGGTCAGTGCAGACGTCGCCTCGACTGATGATGACACTTTTGTCACGAAGTTCCTCAGCTCCGCAAGCGGGCGGAAATGCACCCGAGCTAACGCAACCAATTTCAATTGTCTATAGATTTGTAGTTCAATAGGATATGATGTGATCTAAAGTTAACTAGACATTCGCTGATGAGGGTAAATTGAAACAAATTTTCACGTAAACAAAAAACGTTTTTTAAACTGTCGACAAATTTTATTTCTTGATTATATATGGCACATAAATGGATTCATTTTAAACTGACGGGTTCCAGATGGGCAGCTGCAGTCGCGAAACCAATGAAATAGATTTTTATCTAGTCATTTTTTTGCTACTCATCCCGGTATTCCAGAACTGTAGTCATCGTTTTGTTTATTTGCCAAAGAAATTTGATATGCATTTTGATATGTCATGTATCACCCTGATAAAAATCGATGTTGAGAAAGTAGTGTCCCACTCCGGATTTGGTGGCCGGGCTTGTCCTCCAATCCAAAGAGCGGTTTTAAATAAATCTTATCGTCCTTAGTTGAAACAGAATTAAAGCACATGCCTCGCTTAGTACACCACAATCTAAATGCAAAATACCCCATCGTTGGGGCTTCGATTTTTGCCAGCTCGGGTGTGCATGGAAGTCTCGTTTTCTGATCAGTGAAATTTGTTTGTGATACTAGGCTACATACTTCGGTACTGGACGTACGCGATGTGAGTTTGCATCTTCACAAAGCATAAGTTTTTTTAAATAAAAAAAATGATCAAGCTAACCCAAGATCGCGTATCAATTAAAAACTAACCGTTTGTACTAAAAAAACGATGCATCTAAGCGAGTCGCACCAAGCTTCATTTTGGACCCTTAGGTATGCTCTTCGGAATAAGTCGCCAATTGAATTTGACAATAACTCGATACCATATGATTACTGCGTATACCGGAACCAAAGCCAACAAGATGCCCGAATAACATTTTTATGATGTACCCGTTGGGTTGTTTCCTAACCGCGAATAACGTCAAATGAACTGTTATAGTGTTCCTTGCGGTTAATGGATGTTACTTCAACTGATAAGTACTTTAATGCAAAAACCTTGGGAATGTCATCCATGGCCGATGTGATTTCTGACCCGTTGAGTTCAAATTTGATGTTTGATCATTAGAATAATTTACTACTGTTTTCACCATGCCAGCTGATCGTTCTTGTGGCTTCGGATGCCGATCACATTGGAAAGTGCTTTGGCTTCCCTGAAAAAGCTGGTATGACACCGAGTCTACCCTTTACCGAAAATCACTGGTAAATGTCATTCAAACGTGACAGCCCGAAAAATAAGTGTCATTATTTTGATGTGCCTTCGTATGTTCAGGTGTCGTATAAGCTCTGGAGTTTGCTCAATTTTGCAACTGATTATCAAATCGGATACAATCTTGACCACGAATAGTAGTATGAACATCTAACTATATAAAATATTTCGTTTGCTAAATGAGCAAACCTTTTTAATCGCCGCACCGTTTTTGATGATGTACATGCCTGACTTGGAAAACTTATCGTAAGTTCATTACACCGTGCATGAAATACACATTATGCTGCCTTTGTGCTAACTATGCAATCGATGCCTCTTTTAAGTCAGCTTTTGGAAAATTTGACCGTTCCGGAGTGGTGAAGCCATAATCTGTTGCCTGTCCTCCAATAGTCATTTTTGCACGCGGGTTGCAGTCATGGACGTTGTTTCTCAGCATCTTGACGTCAAAGGACTGTCTTGAACAAGAAAACTGCAAGTACCTTCAATCTTTTTACTCCATACCTTCCGGCACAACGTTCCTGTCAGTTGAATCGGTCGAATTTCCTTTTGCTAATGGCGCGCTGCCTGGCGATTTCGTCGGGCGATTGTGGTTCTCAGTATCACGTTTGCGTTAAGCTACCTCCAGTCTATTCGGACCCTTTTAAAGTGACGTTTGCCGTTCTACCTGGGTCTCAGTTTATTAAGTGTGTCAGTACCATAGTCCAAACAATGGTTAGCTTTATGGCAAACATCTGAAGACCTGTTTCCACTCAAGCTATAAAGTCATTTATAATGTGATAACTTCTGACCGCTACTCCGTCCCACGGAGCGATTCGGACCCTTTTTAAATATCGCCCATCAGAATTTATTCGTATTTCGCGATAGTTGAATTTTTCTTGTCTTGTTTAGCCCTCTGAAATAAAACTACTAGTAAAAGGCTGTTATAATGTCTGTAATTCGTAATCGTGTTCTGGCAATCTGAACCGTCTCTGCACGTCAGACCAGTAAACATAATAAGTTGCACAGCTGCATAATGCATCCTGATTTACCGAATTTAAGCATGTAGCTTGATGGTTTTCCCTATCAGTCCATGTTTTTTGTGTGGATTTCTCGGTGACTTTTCCATGATCACTGTAGCTGTATTTCTTGATACTCTGAGCACCGACTTCAGACCTTTATCAAGTGAAGTATGTTCGTTTCATATTGGGTCTGACTTTTGAAGTAGACTGGTCTTCAAGACAAGTGAGTTGTTCCAAGACACTATTGCCTAATGTTCACAGATTGCACTTCCACGCGAAATTAATTACCCTTAACCCCAGTTTACTTAGGGAATAGCGATACAGCTCTCACAATTCATTATGTAATTTGGCATACGTGACTCTCTTCGGTCTTCTTATGCTGATTCGGCCCGATCTGGTTATTAGTCTTAGTATTTATTTACGGCGTTCTAGGCACATCCCTTCTAAGGTTATGATAGCACATATTTTTTCTGAATTTTTCCTGTTGCAATAAGTTCTGATACTGTAAATATATTTTCCCACACACAAATGTTGCCAGCAGTTGTGAAATTTTGGGCCTTATGCGTAATTCGCTCTGCATGACAATGAATTGACGTCCGCTGGTGCAGGAACACCTGGTCGGCGATTTTGTGGGCTTAATCGGAAAGAGTGATGTGGCTTTTTTCTCTTTCGGGATCCGGCATCGACGAATATGACTTACGCGGCTTTTCTCAATTTGACGGACCAATTGTTTCATTTACACCGCTTGATTGTATGCAAGCGTTCGCTAGTCCGGAAATAGAGGAGAAACATCCGGATATTCCAGTTCTTCAATGTTGCTAGTGAGTCTTGAAGCAGCGATATTCTAAACGACTAGACTCACCAGGTTGTTCCCGACTGGATTTTAGCCGACTTCAATTTCCCAGAGAGTAACAAAGTCTGCGGGGCTCAGGTTCGAATTATTAGCATTTTCTCGTCTCACAGTATCTAACGCAATCTAAACATAATTTTCGTTGTTCTTGCTTCTGATACGTCGATCTATACCTGTTAGGTGCTTAACAATGACATTCGATTTGCGAAACAATTTGGAATGCCTTGACAATGGTTGCCGACCCATCTCCATGTTCAGTGCGCTGATTACTCGATGCGCCATCTGAAAGGTTTGTTTGCCTAACTACACTGAAATCTCATAAACAGCGATATGCATGCAGTTTTTCGTTTCTGCACCAACCTTAAAGACAAATGAAGTTGTTAAATACACCACAGTATCAGTTGTCAACAATGCGTATTGATTTTCTAGGTCGTGCGGTGCGAACCAGGTTTATCAAGTCCGCGGGGTTCTTTCAGCGTCACAATTAATTAATTGTTCTAGGTATTGCAAGTGACGTAATCTTTGTTTTTGTGGCAATAGTTGTTCAATTGAACATTCAGACTATCCGAGTTTATTTTTTCGATAATTGAAAATGGCGTATCTCTTTCAATCGGAACATGAGTTTTTCAATTATGGACGAAAATCATTAGGCCGACTATCACGTTCATCAATCTTTTCCACCTCTTGATTTCTACACTTAACTTTTAACGTTGCTTCTGCTGGATAACTGGGTTGATTGGAAATTGTGAAAACAAAGATCTTTACACATACTGGTTGGCTAGTCTAATCGCAATTTTCTATGAACAAGAATTAGGCGGTCGATACCAGTAGCAATGTTCCGTTGCTCAAAAACAACTGGTTTGCCCCATTTGGAGCCTAATAGTAAGCAGTGAGCAGTTCTTTCAAAATTTGCGCCAAGTGTTCGTCCTCCGCTTTTTTGTTTTGATTTCTAGATTGTACCACTCTTAAATTTTATTTTTTCAGACAAGAACTGATTTTATGAACCTTCTGAAGGAGCAAAAGTCCCTAACGAAGCATTCTCACTGGAGTGATGTCAAACGCAAAATACACTCCGATCCCCGATACAAGGCTGTTGATTCATCATCACGCCGAGAAGATTGGTTTAGGGAGTATGTAAAGAAACTAGATGAAGTGAGTTTCAATTTTTTGATTTCGAAGTGATCATCGAATTTGCTACAATATCTTTCATGGAACGTTTTCTGACTCGGGACCTCCCCCAAACACGGGTGCTGTCCCCAGGGAATAAACCTGCAGCGCAAAGTTGTCTCACCGTGGCTGAACTTGTTACTGTTTTTCTGTGTGGTAAACGAATATCTAATTGGATAGCGATGGTCAAGTAGTTCATGTCTTCTTCATCGGCATACTCCCCTAGGTTTAAACCTTGCCACCGCGACCCAACATTGGACAGCTTCGCTGGAGTCTGGCTCAACACCATGCCTAATCTAGCGGGATCTCATCCGGTTGTATTGTATTTAAAGCTTTAGTGAGTTCTATACAAGATAGAGTTCGATATCTGGCGACAGACTCGGTAAGGTTGACTACCCGCCTGAGAACGAGATGGACGAAAAAAGGCCAAGGAGATTGGAACCACCAAAGCGAGTTCAGAAGAATGGAGACTAAAATAGTAACGATAGAAACCGATGAGGAACTACCTGCCCGGCGATGGGGAAGGGACAGCCGGTTTGTCTATCAGCCGGATGGCCTTACGTTGAACGTGATTCGCGGTTTGTTGGATTGGGAAAAGTGTGGATACCTTGTAGAACATTCTCTTAGAAGGTCAAAACAGAACATCGGATTTGAAACAATCCTTCAATGGATTACAGGTCCGAAAACCACGGAAACCGTCCCAGTTGGCTCAATCGTAACGCTAAAAAGTGCATGTGGAGTAAGGTTTTGAAACGAAGTGAGGAATGAATGAGATAAGACATGAGGTGAGGGCCCATGAGCCAAATGGAGGAAGGAAATTGATGTGACAATGTTTCAGTTTTAACAACCATTAGCTATGCACTTTCGTGCGCCGGTTTTAGTTGCTGTCATTTGCTGACAATGAGACCAGTGGTTTGGGCTCGGTCAATAACATGATTACCGATGCGCGTGATGGGGTCAGCCAGTTGACGCAGGTTATTGGTCACAGCAAAAGCCTCGATTTCGCGTCCCATGAATGAAGTGTCTGAAGAGAGCTTCAGCCATTCCGTGCTGTGAACATTGAATTCTCCGACATTAGTCATTTGGCTGCTGGCATCTGTCGCCATCAGTGTCTAATGTTGGAAGATAAAAGGGTAACCGGTTGCTCGGGGAATGGTAAAAGATACAAAAGTGATTGATAAAAGGGAGTCGAAGTTTCAGGTACATAAGCGGAAATCGAGAAATCGCGGTGCGGAAGTCCGGAAGAAGCAGTAGAGTAGAGTAGAGATAGATACAGGAGCGGACACCAGCTTTAAGAAAAAGTGAAGAGGAGAGGAAGTTATTATTGGACTGAAGCTGAGTAGTGTCTAAGGAGGGAGAGATTTGTATCTCGGTCAAAAATAAGGCCAAAATAGAAGAAGATCGGAGATTGGAGTTCACAGAATTAGCACCTTAATTTAAACTTCGAATGCTAGTGCAAGCAAGAGTGCTATAGTTTGTAGGTAGAGTTCGCATTCTGTGATTTCTCGTTTTCGTTTGTGGTGTGAGAGACGACCGGCAACCCAACCCTGAGACCTGGTAAACCACATAAGGCTTCAACCACGAAGTCAGGTCTCTTCGCAACAATATTTGTTTATCTTGAATGTTTTTTTTAAACATGCGATGTGTAGTACGTCATTAGAGCAATCTCTCGAAAAACTTTTGGTCTTAGCTCACTGGTTGTCAGTTTATCTTTCGTTAACACCTTTGTCCTTNCATAGCCATTGCAGTTCATATTCTTTTGTCCATACCCCGCTCTGGCTGTTCCGTTCTTCTATCAGCTCAAATGCGGTTTAACCGTACTTCGAGACTTACAGTGTTCTGTAGTTTTTCTCCAAGTTAAATTATTAATTGTGGTTGAAAGGCCATTACCTTGAAGTAGGACTAGTGTTTGCTATATTGACACGATTTGTTGTTGCTAGATGTAAAAAATGCTTTGGCTATTTGACTGAATTGTTTGAACTCATGCAGTTAATGCAAAATGTGTTGTTGGATTCGTTACCGAATCGTTTGTGGCGACAAATGTCGAAACCAATAACCCGAGATAATCATCTAAAACGCTATCTTGACATCGAGCCCCACAACTGTCTAGCTCCAGCACAGTCCACTGTAGACAAGAATGGGATGCAACGAAGCTAGATAGTTATCTTAAATCATTGTTTGTGATATGGGGCAACAAAATGTTGGTGTGAAATTAACAGACCGTTTTAACCATATTGAGTTCGTGATCGAATTGTTACGCTTCAGTTGTGTTGTCTCTAGTCAGGTTGTACCCGGTTTGACAAATGAAGTGAGGCATAATTGGTGCTTGTTCAAAATACGAGCAGCGTTTGATTGCACCTGCAATTGGGTTTAAAAGTCATTTTTGAACATGTCATTTTTATATCCTCCCAATTGCTCATTCCTAGGTTATCCACATCTAGGACACAATTTCAGGCGAACAATTGTTTTCAATAACTCATACTCATTCCATTACAGTATGAAGGGAAAATCCTAGGGGTTGGGAGGAAAACAATAAAATGTAAGTAATCGTTCACTTCGTGTGTGTCTGTGTTTGTGTGTTGCACGCCGCATCCTCAGATCTGTGCTTCCGGGGTTTGCAATTATGTCACAACGGTCGTGTGACCCAGTTCTAAGGGGTCGGTGTTGTGTGAATATGTTTGTGTGCGGGAAGGTGGAGGAGTGGGTTGGCGGACCCAGGTAAGATGGAGAGCTTAGAGAAGATGTTTTTGGGTACATAGTTCGGGGGTCAAATACCTAATACAGATGGCCTCGGCCAACATGGCCAACATACGCATTCGCGGGGACCTGATGAACAATGCGGAATGCTTCACTTGGGTTAACACGATGGCCAGTGAGCGAGAATCGCACTTGGAATAGACCCGGAACCACCTCGACTCAGCCAGCGTGGATGGTGTTCTTTCATGCGGCTAGATAACTGCCGTGCGTCAGACGCGTGTATATGTATATATATATTTGATAATAAGTAGTATGTGAATGACTGGACACAATTTCTCTGGAAGCACATCTCGTGTTGCAAACAAGGTTGTATTTTCGAAAATACTCTTCCTGGGTACAAGTATGTGAATAAACCGGCAAAAGATACTAGATACGCATGCCTGACGAGCGTCAAGAACCGCGAAACCGGTCGGGGGCTTCCAAGGAAATTTTGTCTAGTCATTCACATACTACTTATCAAATAAATATATAGATATCAGCTTTATTTCCATGCTTCTGCTCGGCAATTGAATGTCTGCTTTTTTAGACTCCCTCGAGAGAGGATAGTGGAGCCCGGAAGGAGAGAGAAAAACGAGAACGCCAGGAGGCCTCTCTTCGAGAACGGGAGAAGGAAGTCAAAGAAGCCCTGTCATCCTCTATGCGTGAGCGTGAAAAAGAACGGGATCAACAGTTACATAACGAGCAAGAAACCAATTTCCGGACTATGCTTCTTGACTTAGTGCGTGATCCAAACATGACTTGGAAGGAGGCAAAGAAGGCTCTCCGAAAAGACAGTCGGTGGGAATTTGTTGGTGACGTATTACCACGTTCTGAAAGGGATGAAATTTTCAAAGAACATATGGCTTCATTGGCGAAAAAGATGCGTGATTTTCCTCAGAAGTCGTCTTCGGATAGTGGTGTAGGTTACATGTCTTTTCTGTTTTTATCACATTCACTTTTTATTATAACGAGTATGCTCAGCCGTAGTAAGTCGAATGCTACCTCATAAATCTACTGGGATAGTATACTATGAGAGTAGTACTGATCCGAATTTTCCAATTTATGATGGTAGTGGTTTATAGCAATTCATTGCGCATCAGTGACGGCTACCAGAGCCATCCGGTCACCACCCCTTGTTTAAATTTCGTTCTTAATCTAGGCTTTAATGACATGACGTCCAGGAATCGTTTTCTGCTAGTCTTTAGATCGCCGTTCATCTAAAGTAGTCCGAGGAGTTTTTGTATGTGGTTTGTGTAATATGCCACATTCCCATCATGTATTTCGATTAGGTTTTCATCTCTGCTGTCATACACCGTACTTCCTCCAAGTGATCCACCCGAATTCAGCTCTAATACCTATTACAATTACCAAGTAACCTGGGCAACCTGCAGTATTCGGTCCACGTGCTAATCAGGGAAAGGTCTTACTTCTTCATGAAGATTACTGTACCATGGTTTGTTTTCCAGTCTGGATTTAGACGTTTGAAAAAATACAATGTGCCAAGTAACAGACAACAGACAACAGTGCTCATTCTGTGCTGTACAACAATGGAAACAAGTGATCAGCTAACAAAGGCAAGAATAGGCAGAATGATGTGGATGTTTCTCAGCAGTATCGAGAATCAAATAAAAATAGGAAACGTGTTCTTCAATATAATAAGTATAATAATAAGCAAAATCGATGTTCGCGAAGCTCTTTGTCTCAATGTTGTTACAGAGTGAGTCACCGCTTGACTTGGGACCCGTTGTCTAACGTTAGTTTTTCGGATTATGGGAGTCTTTCACTCATTCCATTCGAAGCTTGTATTAAGCGTTGTGTCTATAATTATCTTTTCATTTACAGAGAGAAAAACGAAATTCGACGTCAGAAACAGCTGCGGATGACCAGAATTCTATTGCCGATGAAAACGATGTTGCTGACAGAAAAGACTCCTTAAGGCGATGAGTGCGGTTTCGATCTTTGTCTGCATTTCTTTGAAACGCATCTCCCGTTGAACATTTGCTTTGTGACCACTGTTTATACATATATTTTGTGTAAGGATCGATCCTATCGCCGTTGGCATGCCTCTGGAACCTGTTACTTTGTCCGCCGACGCCACTCTAGTTTCGAGGTTACGTCATTGTGTAATCAGTTAAATTAATAAATTTTCAGTCACGACTTGTTTTGTAATGCACTCATTGTGTGGTCCAGATGTTTGTCCGAGCTCATTGAAACTGTCTTCTGTCACTCTCCTTCAAAAAGTCCATCGGTTGGACTATTTAGTTGTCTGGCTTGAGCTGTATATTATGTATGCAGTCCCTCTATTGTTTTGCTTCATATAGAGATATAGTGAGGCCCGTGATTCAGACATGGTGGCAAGGCTGTGCATATTTGGAGAAAAAACGAGTGGAAGTTCTATGGTCGCGTTAGGTTCTTGTTTGTCTCCATGATGATGTCACTGTCGACAGCTAAGCCTGAAAGAATCGTTCCTCTTGATCCGAGGGGTATTGAAAACATGTCGGATGATAGGGTGGCTGGTTAAAGTTATTAGTCACTTTTGATGTAGCGTAGTATTTGTCACTGCGGATACTCGAATTTGCCGATCACTCCTCAGTCGGAATTATATCCATTACAATTAGACCGCACCATGTTCTTTTTTGTGCCTAATAAGTCCGTCAAGGTGACTTAATAATCTTGAAGTACAGTAGCNAATGACCAGTATTCTTGATGATAACCCTGTAGACCGGCCAGGATAGATCGCATCTGGGGTTGGGTTCTAATACTAAGACTGATTAGAGACAATCGGTGTCAAAGCCAATGCTTTCCACGCCACAATGTCGTCGACCCCTGACTACAGTGTTTCCTATCGTCTTTTGGGCTTTAGCGGCGTGCTGCAGAAATCTGAGTCGTGTTCATATCAAACAGGTTAGGCATGCCTCGTGGTACACACATGGAACACGGTTTCGCCGCAGGATGCCGGTCGTGAAATTGCTGCCCTGGGAGGGCATCGAAAGCCCGGTGTATGTTGCCATTGTAAATGTTTGGATGAAGAATCGTTCTAAAATCTTGAGTAGTGGTAGTTGTCCGCATATTCGAAGTTTTGTATTCAAGGCAATATGCTCAGCACTAATAAGATAGCGATGTTGGTTGAACTGGTGGACGATGGATGCGCTTTTCATTTCGATGTCTAATTTCGAATCATCGAATCGTGGAACCCGAACGTTACCCAAATTTCACTAATTTTTCGTTTTCGTACGTGGTACTACCACTCATGGAAGCGTTTTAAAACCGAGTCCTCCGGGGAAAATATTTAACGCATACAGCATTAACCACCCTTATGCACTTGAAGAGAATTCAATCTGTTCTGTGGGATAGCCGACGAATTGGATTCGGATGAACTTTCTACAAAGTGGTTAGGTCACCAACTAGTGATCTGTGTCCCGGGTTCGAACCACTGCACCTCCGCCCGTCTTCCCAGGCGGCCTTTGTTTGGTCGCGGCCCCCTTCCTGTATGTTGACTGTACATTTGTATATTCAATAAATAAAAAAGGAAGTAGAAAGACAACATTACATAAATGGTCAGTACAGTTGACCACTTTGATCCATAATTCTTCAAAAAGCTGACCAGCTGCCCCATTTGACGAAATGCGGATTCCACGTAATTCAAGTGCACGCGGTACGCAACGGCTCCAATAAAAGTTACCTTGTATTCTCAGTGTGGTCAAGCATGGATGGAATCAACGATGATATCTGGTACTTCAGAAATAATGTGAGATCTAGAGCTGTCCAGAGTTGTCTATGAAGCTTCTCGTCTAGTAGCCGCTCGAGGCCGAGTATTATTGCTATCTTGTCAGCCAGCTGTGGTTTAGTCGAAGTTTCTCTTGCGTTTATTTGCTGATTTTCTTTCCAGATGTTTGCATATAGTGGACGTGCAACTGCCAAGCTTTACCGTTGTGGTACGACAAGGCTGAATAACTCGTTAATTAAATGGATGGCCTACTCTATACCAAGATGATAATAAGGTCCATATACTTACTGTTCACTATGTCGTCGAACAGTGGCTTAACAAGAAGCTTTACTTAACGAAAGGCTGCGGGCAACTGAACTAAGGTAGTCAATGACTAGGATGGAGGTGATCTAGTTAGTTTCAAAATCACATGTTGCTCAAACTGAAGCGTTTTGTTCTCCTAGGGACAACGGAGGCTTTCTCTAGCCATAATTTGATGTGCTCGGGGTCGGAACCTGTGCAGACCACAGTTCGTTATGAAAGGGTTAGATCCTACATTACTGTTGCACAATTCGATTCCAACATGTCCTGAGCAATAATTTCGCAATCAAGCTGTTGGCCGTTGCTATCACGTATGGGGACGGAAAGAATTGCACGAGAAACTTCATTTCTCCGAAACGCGTTGATCTTCGAAATTTGGAGGGGTATTGAAATATATGCCGGCCCTGTTGCATTTCATTGGCTGTTATAAAACATGATGGTTTATCTTGCTCACTGTTCGTGTTTGGGCATCAACAGTTATCCCTTAGTTTTAAATGCGCGTTTCTATGATTATCCATTTAGCTCCTGCGCTTTTGAAGTGATCCGCAAGTCATTAGAACTAGAGGAACGCTAGCCAGGTTGTTGTACACATTTGCAAGCTAACACTCATTGGCGTCTCCCTTAGATTAACATAGTTCTAGATAGGTCAGGTTGCATGCAGTGGCATTAAAGTAGAGAGTCATACACTCTACCTTCACGTGACAGTGTTTTCCACCAAAATGAAGAGAATGAAAAGCCAAAGGCGGGGCTATAACCAGGTTGTTGAACCCCTGACTAAAGATCCTAATTCCGAACCAACCAAAAAGAAGCGCACGAACTACTACCCACTTTCCTGGTCGCAGTAGTGATCACTGGTTCGATTGGGCACTGGAAGTTTGACCCCGTCCAAAGTGCGTATAATCTGATGAATTGGCCGTCGGCCTCCAATGGATTGCGGTTTTCACGCACCGCTCTGCTGCCTTGCGGGTCAGGCTTTGGCTAGTCAAAGGCTCCGGCTGTGAACTCGAGAAAATTAACTTGTCGTCGCCGGGTAACCTGGCAGGATTCCGCCCACAGGTAAATCATGGAATGTTTTTCTTATTAAGTTCAGTGTACCGCGATTTGCTTGTCACAGTCTGACCTCAGATGTGTGTGAAATACATAAATACACACTTCTCGTGGCGGTGTTGACATCAAAGTGAGAGCACAAAGGCGGATGTTCGGCGCTTCCCACTGTGCTGACTAATCATTGGTAGCCATTGTGGGGAAGTTGGCTAAACCCTAGTTCCAAACCACACACTTAGTGTAGGAAGCTCATAGTAGCACCAATCATTGGCGCAACGAAACCGGTTTCCAAAGTTAACTGCGGTGACGCTCTGAAATGCACCCAGTGGTCCACCAGCGAACGTACTCGGCAAGTTCTGGGGAATATCGGCCTTCTCGGGGGAGCAGAACTGTATGCGCGTCCCTAGGTGGTGGACAGGGGAGAACGGTCATCATCTCGCGGCTAACCGTGAATAGAATGGGCCTAGGCCCTCCGGAAAACGGACGATCAGCCGCAACGTTCGAAAATATGGTGTGTTTGTCTCCTGGCAAGGGTTATCCGTACAAAACACCACAAGTATCTGTGGACAACGCTGTGGTCCGCCCCTAAGTATGACCATTGCCTCTTGTCGAGATCCACTGTGCGACAAGGTTTGCCAGAAGAGGCGAATGAACCAAATACTGGCCACCGGCCCATCTGGATGATCGCTGCTGCCTTGCAGTCCGCGCTTGGTTGCGCAAAGACTGGAGTGCATCCTCGAACAAAGCCTACTCTGGACCGGGTGACCGAGTAGTACAATAGCCCGCAACGCACACAACTGAACGTTCTCACTTTTATGAATTCGTACTCTGAATCTTCATCAATCAAGCATTCTACACCGCACCCTCTTGTT